GCCGACGCAAACTTTCGGGCCACCGACGAGGCAATCTTGACTGAAACAAGAGACACACGGGCACCCCACAGCAACGGTCAGTTCATGTGTCCCCGTTTCTGCGTCTCAATAGGCCGTAGCAACGCGAGACAGCATTTTATGTTGTCTGGCCAAGTGATGCTGATGGGCTTGTCGAACTGCCGGCACGATGATGCGACGTAGTTGAGGCAGAGCCTGGTGCCATGGCGAAGTACAAGGGGGTGTGAGGTGGGTCAAGTTAGGGTCGAGCAGACAGAAGACGTCTTCAGCACTGTTGAGATAATTTAAAACGGTGTTGGCCCTTGAGGCTCTCAAGAGCCGTGGCCATAGCATTAGGGCCAGGATTGTGGAAGGAAACATAAGGACTAGAGAAGAAAGTACGAGCTGGACAAGGCGTGTCTTGATGGCAAGACAACAAGCTATGGTTGGCTTGATGGTTGACTTAAGTGCTATCGCTGCGAGTGGGGACATTCGGCCTCCGTCTTCCTCATACTTGACGCAGTCGACTGGTACACGAGCTTAACCTCCTGCTTGGCCTCGTCCTGAAAAGCGGCATCTCCTCGTGTTCAGCCCAGCCTCCCCGACAAGAGGGTACTATTTGTATTTGTCCTTCAGCCGCACCCACCAAAGCGCCTAGTGGAGTCAAGTTGAGAAGCCCACAGGAGGTTCAGCCGGCCAGTATTCCGAATCACAATTTGGCCCATGCATTAACTGGAAAATTGGGCAGTTGGCCAACCAATCGGTAGGTCCGCAGATCAGCCGGTCAGCCAATCAGCTAATCGGATTATCCGAAATATCCCAGAAATAGGCCTTAATTTCCCCATTTTTGCTCTTGATTACCCTCAGCAGATGCCGTAAGAGAATACAGATCAATAGAACAACTACAAGAGTCTGACGAAAAGACTTAATCTTAACAGAAAAGTAGTGTCTACACCAAATTTTGGCATTTGTTGTATGCTACATGTTTACCAAAATCCCATTGGAAGAAACAATGGACGATATTGAGGGAAACTTAGTAAAAGTTTTCCATAATGATATAAGTAGGCCTAATGATTTTATTGAAATTCACATAGCCCTACGTCCGAGGCTATTCCATTCTAGGATGGTGAAATATATCTACTTATATGATTGTTGTCGGTCCTTCATCACCCCATGCGACCTAAAGTGAATAGAACTCTTATTCAAGATGTGAACATATTCTCAACCCCATATTTTATGAATATAGTGGATGTCAAGGGAACCTAGTTATTTGTAATATAGTAATGTCGTCAGGTTTAATAGTTGATGCAAGTTTGTTGATTGAAAGAACGCACGAACCGGCTTAGAATCTCATTTGAGGCGAAGAGAAGCTAACACGACCCAGGCGAATGAGAGACTGTAGTGCGGGATGGATGAGAATAGCTCACGATTTCATTTGGCTTAATTTCCCAAAAGGTTTTGTCATCCATGCTAGTGTGAAGCCGGCCAATTTTATTTCATCACCTTATACGACCAGAAATCTACAGATAAATCTAGGATATTTTAGAAATCTACTCATTTGGAATGTAGTAGTATGTTTAAGTCTAGTAGAAAATGCAAGTTTGTTGATTAGGAGGGCAAATGAGCCAGTTTAGCATTACAATGAAGGAGGAGACAGGCCAACGCGATTCAGGATGAGAGAACGTTTATGTAGACAAGTCTAATTGAGCTTCAGCAGCAGTATAAGGCTTAAGGTTTAATACTTTTTTATAAGTGGCTTACCCCCCAACAAGGCAAAGTTGCGAAAATGAGGTTAGCCCACTTTTATCAATCGAAACTAAACTGTGACCATCTTGTTGCTTGTATCTTCATTTAATAAGTTTTTATTCTAAACAACATACTACTATTAAGCTACTTATATATTTGAGCCTTGTTGCAATGAGGCACCGTGCGCGTCTTGGGCGCACCTCATGTCAACTTTTGGTGGACAAGAGGCGAGGGCATTGGCGTGTTGTGCTGATTTTCTCTTCCTCTGCAAGACGCTTAAATGCGTATGTCCGCGATTTGTGTATCCTTTGAAGGGCCGTAAATTAGTTGCCATCGTCTGACGGCATTTCGGAGGTGCGCAATATCATTCCGGCCAGATGGAGGTTCTCCGCATGGGAAGCGCCTCCAGCTCATCCACAGGTCACATGTGCCGCGTCCCCTGTCTGAAGCACGTGTCGTACAGGCAACTTTGTCAATTTCGTGTAGAATAACGGTTTGCGTTGTCACGTGTGAGGGAGTATTGCAGGTAAAGAGACCAGAATTGGTTTAATACCAGTCGGCGAAAAAAACATGACCCAACCTTTCCGTTGGAGGCTTGTAAACTCGGGTAAATAGGGCTCCTTAACTGTGATTGGCAAGGAGTCCATCTGAAACTGGGCTTTTTGACCAGGAAGAGCAATGACCATTGTACCAAGTGGACTAGCCAGCCAACAGGAAAACGTTGGTGATTGGCAGTTCAGTCGTCTTGGCATCACTGCCAGCCTCCCCGTAGGCGCCGGGCTGGCTCGTCTGGCTCGAGTCGTTTAGGACGGTCCACATTACAGAAAAGGGAATCTGCATGGGGGCTCGAGGACGGCGCTTCCAGGGGCATTGGGTTTTAAACTAAACAAGAGGAGAACTGTCCAACGGAGTAAGTTTATTTTTGACGAGAGGTAAAAAAGACACTACTAACAAACTACTCATATGGCCACATCGGCTAAAGTGGATGGTTGGTGGCTCAATTGCCGCGGAATCGCCGGTTTGGCTCGCTTGAGTTGATGCGTTTAGATCAGTCTGTATTATACCGAGGAGACATGACAAGGGTGTTGGAGGTGGGCTCTAACCTGGCGATTTTGTGACTGTGGACCGATGCACAAAGCAAATTTGCGCTGTTCTATCTGAGGCTTTCGGCAATTGTGTCGTGAAAAATTGTGCTGGAAAGGTTCACTGCATTTGTGGGCATCCGCTCTTCTGAGGGCTCTTGCTGTCGAGAGTATGTTCAGTATCTACAGCTCCGATCGAGTGTCGGCTGGGTTAATCTGAACTCTTCTCATCCGCATGTACCTTCAGTCTCCATTCCATCTGACAAGCGTAGCTTTCAAGTGGCCACAATTAAGTGAAGCCGATCTCGTTCATGCATTTGGCTTTGTGCAAAAGGCGTCTGTTCGTTTTTTAGATAATTTGGCCGATATCACAATTGTGCTACAGCTTTTCACCGAGTTATGAACGTCTCAGAGACAGCAAACCACTTCGTGGCATCATTTATATTCTAAAATGAGAGCCTAAGCAACAGGAAAGTCCCATAGTCAAGTGGGGTACGTCGAGGGGAAAACGACAAATGTATGTTATGTAAAGAGGTTGTCAGCTCTAGTCTCTCTCTATTCTCATCAAAAAACCATAGTGGAGGAAATAGAGTAAAGATTAGGAAAAGTAGCCGCTCATTAAGAGCCACAAAGTCCTGCTTTGGTAGCCAACTACAAACGATGAGCTCTTTTGTAGCGCTGTACACGATGGAACGCAGCTTTGAGTCCGGCTGGGGCGGAGATCAGACCCGGATGAAGTTAAAACCATCAAATTATATTGATCGTTAGTTGGTTGTCGTGACTATCAGTAAATCTTGGATATGACGGAGTGAGGAGCCCTTACGATGATCTTATTCAATATTTACCAACAGTCTCGAAACCGATTAAATATGAATATAAGTAATATAGTTAGTTATGGTGGTAAAATAAATGTTTTTCTAATCGAAGATGACGTCTGTCCTGTAATCCACTGGCCTTCATGGCTGTAGAAACATGTCGAAAATAAGGAACAATCTACCGGGCTTTGATTAGTACAGCCTTTCTCTTTGTTCTACACACCAAAACATCCCTTTCCGCGTTTAGGGCTCGAGCCCTGTACTTGTAGCCTCAGAAACAAAACTTCATTTCATCCGAGGCAGCAGCAATTTGGATGTCTGCAAAACCATACCTGGACTGACATAACTTGGAAATTGACTTAATTTCAGACTCCTAATGCAGGAAATTGACCTGACAATACCGGCTTAGTTTTGCTGAGTTGAAAAAGTGATGTCCTACCACATCGTCTTTGTGTTCATATCTACGATCTGAATTCTACCCCACGACACAGCGCCAATGAAGCACGAGAGAGGAGGGCTTTCCAGGCGAGATGCGTCCCCCTCCCTTGGCAACAGAACAATTCAAGTGTATAGGAGGGAAAGTATTAAATAACTGTGATAACCAAGGATTGAATCACTGTTCTGAAAGCGCCTAGAGCTATTTCTGGAGACGTTTCATTTTCGTCTTTTATGCCCAACCCCATACACAACAATACGTTTCCGTCATATCAGACGAAATCGTGAAATATGGGCTTGGGACTGAATGATGTGCAAGAGGCCGTGCGAGTGTGCAAGCTACACAGCCGCCGGGAACTGTCACTTCTGGATGACTGGCCACCGAAAATGAACAAGTTCATGACGAGAGAAGAAATTTCTTGTGATAAGTCCGTTCAGGCAGCAAGTGAAGAGAAAATCTCCAGTCAACATCGTCTTCGCTTCGAACGACGCGAATGCAAATGAGCCCAACAGTTGAGAGCAAGCAATCGAATGCTGTTAAAGCGAACTGACGTCCAGACCCCCTTTGGCGCTACAATTCTGGAAGAAGATGCCGTCCGGGAGTACTTTTCTAGCCAATCAAAGCCCGGGGATGGATGATCCGATCAGAATCAGACAAAAATGTAAACGAATTTTGTTGTGAAGATCGACAAATATTGATGGTACCCACAAGTTGACCAGACAAGAGATTCTTTTACATGTAGATAAGTTAGTTCTCGAAGATTCCCTTGATGGATTGATGCTGTAGTATCTTTCATTTTCAAGAGGCAGCTGGAAGAGCTTCAGAAGTTAGTCTTACCGGAAGCCGAAGGAGAAATTCCTTGAAGCCCTGAACGTAGCTTTGTGCCAACAGCTCCTCGGATCACCTTTCGGGGTAGCAACAAGATGATCCTCCTTTGACTTCTCTTGAAGCTAGATACTCCAACAAGAGAGTATCTTGTCCGAGAAAAGGGATGAAATCTTGGAGTTCAATAATCGCAGGATTATCATGACTGGCCTATCCAATGCAATCTGGTGGCAGCCTCCATAAAAGTTATTGAAGTAATGCTATTCTCTTCAATAAAATTTAAATGCTCTTGACTTGGCGTGGTCCGATGGATTTCAGACTGTTCCGGCTGTCATGCACATCGTTTCGTCACCGGTGGATGCGCGTTATCGAATCATTACTTTGGGTTGTGTTGCATGGAATCTAAAATGGTATTTTGATCCGAAGACGTCGCTTTAGATATGGAAAGTAAGTAGGCTTCGATGAAGCTCCTGAGCTCACATTTTTGGAGACTTTGATTTCGTATGAAAGTGCATGATAAAGAGATTCGATTTGAGAGATGATTCCAGTTGTATTGCATCCCATTTTCTCCCGAAACGAGGCAGGATGCCTAGTGGACTGTGTCAACCTGAACGAAGTATCAAAGCCAAACGGCTGCAGTTTATTCAGAATAAGCTGTCGTCTTTTGGTTAGATCGACTTTCGAATCTCTTTATCATGCACTTTCATACGAAATGAAAGTCCCCCCGCCAGAAGACGTCAGCATTGTGGAAGAGGCATCCGAGACTTCGGCGCTTAAAACCAGGACCCCCAGGGCAACTGGCAACTGTTGCCCAGAGGAAATGGTTGGGGATTACCTTCGTTAGATCTCCTCACAGCCCGAAGCGGCTCCAGAAATGGTTAAATTGTGCGGGGTTCAGCTTTATCCTCTAAAATACTAATTGATACAGGCCTATTTATTGCTTTGACTCATGATAAAATCGGATGGAACTATCCATGCATCCACCTCATTCGAGTCCGATCAACAGATTCAGTGAAACTTGAGCCCAGCTAATGCGCGCCGAAGGGTGAAAATTCGCATTTTGTCAAATTGCAAGAATGCCAGATTCAAGAAACAAATGAGACTTCAAATGTCTGTCTCAAGCCGCATTGAACATGAAAGTCAGTGTGGATAAGCCAAACTCACAATTGTCATAGTCCTCGAAAATAGGAATATCGGGCATTTCGGTTACATTCGAAGCTGAAGGGGGATGTAGGCCTGAATAATAAATGGTTGATTGTGTCCAGAAACCGAAATTTAAGCCGCTCATGAGGAACACAGCTAACCTTGACTTACGATCTTTAAAGAAGTGGGTTGAATTCGTTGTCGCAACTTGGTCATTGTTGTCATTAGAATCTTAAGGTTTCATCAAGACTTTCTTAAATCCAACTTTGAAATTTCTGGTCCTCCTAAGAACCGGTGTTCCCAAGGCCTAACAGCTGCAACCGATTTTATCATAACTCCACCATAACTTCGGATTTTTGTAGATACTCCTAACACCACCTCCATGCGAGATTATTTCTGAGGGCTAAAAAGGGAGGAAAAACTGGATTTTAAGCAATCATTTGCAGTTGGCACAAGGAATTCATGTGTTCTTCTCACCAGAGACCGAAGGGAGTTAATTTAAGTGTATACGTCCATGGCGCACCGTCCTCTGACCTTGATCCATTCCTGCTTAGCTTTTATCTGTCTTGCCGTCTCAGACATCCCTTATGCGATAAACAATCCTTTGACAAAATTTTACAAAAATTAGAGATGAGACCATATTATCCTTAGAATGTTCCGCTTTAAGCATACTACTTGCTATCAGAGAAGTAGCACGACTATGAATTTTGGATTTTTCATTTATTGCATCTCCCCTTTTCTAGTCTCTTCCATAACCTCTATTCATCAGTCTTGCTCAGTCATCTGCTGACAAAAAAGTTTGATGCTGAGGCTTTAGGAAGTAGAATTAATTATAATTTTGTAGAACCTCTCAATAGCGTCGTCACTTTAGTACGCATCATTCATCACTGCAAGAGCAGAACAAGCAAAAAATAAATAACTATTAAAAATAGTGAATCTTAGATATGAAGACCAAGATGGTGTGGTTGCCGTCTTCGTTGGCTTAATGGTTTTGGTTCGAGCTCGTTTACGAAATTTGGTCGGAGCGTCAGGGAGACCTTGTGGAACGTGCCTAGTCCCCTATCATCTGCCATAGTATTCATGATTTCCA